AAAAAAAAAAAAAAAGAATTAGAGTTGAAACAATCTTTTAAAGCCCTCTATGTCTGTCATACAAATAAGTATTAGAAGTAGATGGAAGAAACCCCATCGATAAACTCCTTATGCTTTGTATGAGTCTAGATTCTTGGACTTTATTGATTCTTTTTAATACATATAATTGGGAAAGAATATTTCCTGTTTATATTCCTTATTTATGTCATTGTCCTCCTATAATTTGCATTTTAGGGGGAGAAAAGTTGAAAAATCAGCCAGTACCACACCCATTTAATAGATAGCATGAAAGAAGTGTGGACATTTTGGGTACTGAATTTTTTTTTTACTTTCTTTAAATTAAGGTATAGGGACCCCTGGGTGGATCAGTCAGTTAAGTGTCTGCCTTCGGTTCAGGTCATGATCCCAGGGTTCTGGGATCAAGCCCCGCATCAGGCTCTGGAGCCTGCTTCTCCCTTTCCCTCTGCTGTTCCCCCTGCTTGTGCTCTCGCTCTCTCTCTGTTAAGTAAATAAATAAAGTCTTTTTTAAAAATTAAGGTGTAACTTAACCTACACTAAAATTCACCCTTTTTTGTGTGTACAACCCTGTGAGTTTTGACAAACACACTTGTTCAGTTATCACCACAATCAAGATATAGAACATTTCCATCACCCCAGTGATTTCTCAAGGCTTCTTTTATAGTGCATCCCTCTTGCCAGCCTCAGCCATTAGCAGCCACTGATCTTTTTTCTGTCCCTATAGTTTTACGTTTTCCAAAATGTCCCATAAATGTAATCATAGAGGAGAAGCCTTTTTTTTTTTTTTTAAAGATTTTATTTATTTATTTGACAGAAAGAGATACAGCAAGAGAGGGAACACAAGTAGGGGGAGTGGGAGAGGGAGAAGCAGGCTTCCCGCTGAGCAGGGAGCCGGATGCGGGGCTCAGTCCCAGGACACTGGGATCATGACCTGGGTGGAAGGCAGACGCTTAACAACTGAGCCACCCAGACACCCCAGAGGAGAAGCCTTTGAGTCTGGCTTCTTTCACTTAGCATCGTGCATTTAAGATTCATCCATATAGCTGTGTGTATCAGTACTTCATTGCTGCTTCTTGCTGAAGAGTATCCTGTTGTCTGGTTGTATCACAGCTTGTTTATTTCCCATTGAGGGAAAGTTGAGTTTCCAGTTTGGGCAATTATGAATAAAGCTGCAGTGAATGCTTGTGTACGAGGTTTTGTGTGAACATGAGTTGTCATTTCACCTAGGTGAATACCTAGGCATGACACTGCTGGATCATTTGGAAAGTGTGTTTATTTTATAAGAAACTACCAAACAGTTTTCCAGAGTGGTTGTACCCTTTGGGACCAGTAGTACATGAGTTCCAGTTAAGGAGTTGAATCCGGATTTGGAAAGCCAGATGTTCAGTAGTCAGAGAAGCTGAGGAGGTGACAATAGCTTGTAGGGTTGTCTGCTGTCTTCCTACCTTTCGGTAGTCTTTGTGAGCCTCCACACAGGAGAGCTTCCACACAGGAGAGCTTCCTTTTATAGAAGACATTACAATATTGCTAACCCATTGCACATCTTTCTGAGGACGGGATGTAGGATATGCCAAAACAGATGTCATATTTAGTGTCCGCAGTCTAACCACTTAATTTTTTGATCCAGGAAAAGGTTTTGACAGAAATGCTATTGAATCCTTGTCAACCTCCAGCATGTCTGTCCCCAGTTATAGTTATATGGAAATAACACCAAAAAAAGGTCTTTTTTTTTTTTAAGTTTTTTTTTTTTTTTTTATTCATGAGAGACAGAGCGAGAGAGAAAGGCAGAGGGAGAAACAGGCTCCCAAGGAGCAGGGAGCCCGATGCGGGACTCGATCCCAGGACCCTGAGATCATGACCTGAGCCAAAGGCAGACGCTTAACCATCTGAGCCACCCAGGCGCCCCAAAAAAAAGTCTTTAAGTTTTCTTGTATTACTTGTATTATGATTGGAGTGTAAGCACTTTTTAAAAAACAATTTTATTGAGATATAATTTACACTCTATAAAGTTCACCCATTTGAAGTATACTTTTCAGTGGTTTTCTTCTATACTTACAGAACGCAGCCATAACCCTAATTTAATTTTCATCACTCCCTAAAGAAACCTGTTTGTATCCATTAGCATTCATTGTTCATTCCGTTCTTCCTTCTCCCCAACCTCTTCTAGCTACTAATCTGCTCTTGTCTGTATAGATTTGCCATTCTGGACATTTTATATAAATGGGGGCTGGTATTTTATGACTGCTTTCACTTGGCATAAAGATTTTTAAGGTTCATCCATGATCTAGCATATATAAGTGCTTCATGTTTATGGCTGAATAATATTCCATTGTATCCATTTATCTGATGGACATTTGGGTTGTTTCCACTTAAAGACTGGGTGGCTCAGTTAAGCATCTGCCTTCGGTTCAGGTCATGGTCTCCAGGTCCTGGGATCGAGCCTGGCATCAGGCTCCCTGCTCAGCAGGGAGTCTGTTTCTCCCTCTGTTCCTCCCCCTGCCCATGCTTGCTCTCTCTCTCTCTCAAATAAATAAATAAAATCTTAAAAAAAAAAGTTGGACGCTTAACTGACTGAGCCACCCAGATGCCCCAAGATTTTAGTTTTGATGAAGTCCAACTTACCAGTCTTTTTATCACTGTGTTTCAGTATCTTAGCTAAGAAATCATTACCAAAATCATGCAGATTTACTCTTGTGTTTTCTTCTAAGAGTTTTACAGTTTCACCTCTTATATTTAGGTCTCTGATCTACTTTGAGTTAATTTTTTTGTATGACGTGAGACAGGGTCCAAATGTATTCATTTGCATGTGGATATCCAGTTGTCCCAGTGCCATTTGTTGAAAAGCTGTTCTTCTTGGTCCCTTTGTCAAAAATCAGTTGACTGACCATAAATGTTAGAGTTTCTTTCTGGATTCTCAGTTCTAATATCCTTGCTCTTTATTAAATCCATCCTGTGTCAGTGCTACACTGTCTCCATTACTGCAACTTTGCTTTTGAAATCAGGAAGTTTGGGGCTACCATCTTTATTCTTTTTCAAGATCATTACGTGTCCCTTGCATTTTCATTTGAGTTTTAGGATTAGTTTGTCAGTTCCTGTAAACATAAGCACTTTTTAAACTGTTGTTATAAAACAATAAATCTGGGGCCTTCAGCTGAGGTCATGAAATGCCTGTTTCTAAAAATGGGCTCATACCTCACAGAATATATTTTACCCTCCAGTATACCTAAATACTTTTTTTTAATAGGCCACATTTTCTTTATCCATTCATTCACTGGTGGATACTTAGGGTTGTTTCCATGTCTCACCCACCATAAGTAATGCTGGAATGAACATGGGGGTGCGGATATCTTTTCAGAATAGTGATTTCATTTCCTTTAGATGTATACCCAGAAGTGGAGTTGCTGGATGGAGTATACCTAATACTTTGAACAACTTCCCTAACCTTCTCATTCTTCATTCAGACAGCATCTATTATGTACCTGCTATGTGCCAAGGTCAGTGTTGGGTACTCAGTCCACAGTGATCATTAAGATCCTATTTCTGCCCTCAAATAGCTCCAGTCTCATGGAGGTGATAGATTAAACAAATACTTGAGAAACAATATCGCAGAGGTTTTCATAGAAATACTGTGCAAGGGAGTGGGAACCCAAAGGAGTGGCTAGCCCTAACCAAGTGTGGCCTCTGGCATGTCTAAGAGCTCTACATGTATTAACTCATCTTTACAAGTCCTGCAAAGTGGGTACCATCCTTCTCCCCATATTACAGAAAAGGACTGGGTCAGTATTCCATAGCCTTTAGGAAACTTTCTAATAAACATAACTGCCCAAACTCTCCTTTAAAATTCTTTGAGATTTCCAAGTCAGTGTGGTTAATTATAACCAAGTAAAAGAGTAGGTAGAGTATCCTTTGGCTTTCAAGCTGTACACAACCCCTGTTTTCCTCCCAGCCTTCAGTGTTACACTACCTGTGAAATGACTGTTCCCCTGCCTCCTCCCTAAGATTCTCAACTAAGTTGAGAACAGGTGTTCTTCTAGCGGGTAAGGGCTCTGAGGTAGAATCTTGCCTTAAGTGCCTTGCACAGTGAGTAGTTTGGGGATGGGTGAAGAGTTTTGCAGTTTTCCTGAGCAGATAAAATGAAAGATTCAACTAGGATGGTGCTGGACCAGCGTGGAAAGGCCCAGAATTTACATGAATGGCTTAGTGCCATAGTATCCAGTAAAGAGATACACTAAACCACTTGGGGTAAATGCGGTTAGAAATTCATGAATAGGGTAGAATTGTCTGCTATGATGTGGAAAGTAAGCTAGTTTCAAAAAGATAAATACTGTGTGGGGCATTAGGATTTCAAGTCCATAATATGTCAGTAATTGGAATCTGTGCAAGCTTGTGGAATCCAGTATGCATTTATCCATCTAGTATTTGTTGACTCCCAGTATTTTTAAACACTGTGTCCTATCCTAGCATAGTTATTAAGTTTATCATTTTAACTGTTCTCAGGTCCAGTAAGATAAGAAAGAAAGCAGAACAAAGGAAAAGCACTTTTTCTTTAAATGGCAGGCACTGTACCAGGTGGTGTTTTACATGTATTATTTAATTTAATCCTCAAAGTAGCACTGAGGTAAGTGTACTTCGTACCCTCTTTTTCAAAGGAGAAAACTGAAACTCAGAGAGGTAAGTAAGATCACAGAGCCCACCTGCCTTCAGAGTTGCTGTTCCTTCTCTCAGAATTGCTGCTCTCAGTACCAGTTGAGAAATGGATAGGGAAGCTCTAGGAAGACAGTATTGATAGCATTTGTTGATTTGACCTAACTATTCATTTATTAATTCCACAGATTTATTGAGTGCTGTTTTGTACTGGGTATTATGCTGGGCAATAGGGAAAGGAAGAGACCGAGACAAACATAATCCTTACTCTCATGTAGTTTATATTCTAGAGAATAATTATAGAGAATTATAATGATCTTTAGGTTGATTTGCATTTAGCTTTATCTGTTTAGTGCTCGTATTTTGTTATATATTGTGTGCATGCAAATACACATATACACATATGCACATGTATGAGCATAACTGTGTTTTCTAAAAAGAAAGTAAGGATAAAAAACTTGTTTGTAGATTAACAAGTTTGGGGAATTTCTTTATGCTGCATCTTTTACCTAGAATTTCAGAGACACTGAACAGTAAAACTTCTTTATGAATTGCATTTACATTCTGCTCAAAAAGGTTTTTTGTTTTTTAATATTTCATAATAGAAAAATTTTAATTTATTGAAAAGTGGAGAGTATACTAAACCCACATGTATCTGTCACTCAGCTTCATAAATGCCAGCTCATGACTAGTCTTGTAGGGAAGCAATTACTGTAAGTAATTCAGTTCAGAACTAATATTCAACTTAAACATTTATCTTTTACATAGGTTTTACATAAAACTTATGTAATTACTTATGTAATTTATTTATGACTAACTTAGTATTATTCAAGTAATAAGAAGATGGTCGTTGAATAATATAAGCTGTTGTATTGTGGGTCTGCTTTATTAATGTTTTAGAAGGGAAGCTTCTTAAGACTCTGGATTACATGTATATCTCCATATTCAATTGTCCAGCTAAGTAAGTACATTTAAATAAGTAACACTTAGAGAAAGGCAGATGTTCAAAATTAGCCAAGTACACTTTTGGCCCTCTGTCATATTTTGCATAAAAGAACAAAACCAATGGTACAGTGCACTAACTTTGTAATTTGCTTTTTGAGTTGGGTCTTTTTTGTTGCTGTTGGTTGCATGATTAATTTTTTTATGATTGCATACTTATTTGGATTTATTTCTCTTGTGCTGAAGGAAATGTACAAATTACAACTGGAACTCTGCTAAAATCTGAAGAAGTACAAGGTATGAAGGTCAATGGGACTAAGACGGATTATAATGAAGGACACAAGAATGGCAATGTGAGTAAAGGTCTCTCAGCTGGGTGCAGCGAATACCCAGAAATAGACAAAATCATGACCAGTGGTGAGGTTTCAGAAACCAGCACATTAGTTTCCCTAGAGTCTTTAACCTTTGTGGACCCTGGATTAACAGAAGCAACTTCTAAAGAAAAAGAATGTGAAGAATTAAAAACTTGTCCTTCTTGGTTGTCATTGTTACCAGGGAGCAGTGCCATTTCCAAAGTGAACAATGGGAAGGAAGAGGTGTGTAATTTAAACCTTGTCTGTGAAGCAGATGACAATCACCAACAGATTCTCAGCCACCATAATGAAAAACACAGTTCTGCCCATGGCAGTCCCAAAGCCACGAGAAATGTAGTTGTTGTAGAACCCTTAGAAGAAAACTCTGGCATTTCATATTTCTCAAGTTTGTCTGGTCCAGAATCCAGGACACCATCCTTAGAAACAAGTGGTTTTGAAGGTGATGGCTTGCCAAAGGGATCTGCTGAAAAGACAGACAATTCCTGTTTTGATGGAGATGGTCAAAGCAAGAACGTGGCTACTAGAAAAGAAAATGAACAGTTTTTGAACCCCAGGAGTGAAAGAGGGGAACTCTTTCTTGTTAATGCCAGGCAACCAGAAGAGGATGCTAGTGGTCATTGTCCTGGTGAAAAAGAGACTATTGCCGCCCCCAAAGAGAATATCCATGGTAACTCTTGTGTTCAAGGCAGTATCCATACAGACAGCCCTAGTTCTTCAGTGCCCGGTTCTTTCACTGAAGCCACAGAAGTAATGTTAAAAAAAAATTATCTGAAAATCACTTTAGACATTCAAGGTAGCTTGACAAACCATGAGGACCATAGAGAAACTTCTACTGATATGAGCCATTCAGGCAGACACTCTGAAGAGAGCAGTTTTTCCTCCTTAATGCAGATTGAAGAGCCAGAACAGACAACCACTATAGAGGCCAATATGGTAACTGAAAAGATTTACAGTAAAGACTCTAACTCATTCCGCTCCCAGAGAAATCTGGAAGACAACACCCAGTTAAGTGAAGCATCATATAATGAATTTCTGATTGAAAGAAAATCCCTTGTGAGTTTAAAGCGTGAGGACCACATAAGTCTTATGAATGAGATATCAAAACCCAAGAAAGATATTGCTCAGTTACCACCATCCCTAGAATTTGATTACAAACCTGAGTCAGAACAAGCTATACAGACCGCACAGGACAATAGTTCACATTTAGATGAACAGAACATAGCCTGTGAGATGAATAAACTTCCTTGTACCAATGAACTGGTTTTAAACAAAATAGAAAGTGAATGTGTTTTAAATCAAGTGCCCCTTAATTCTCAAGACCACGCGAAGTTGCCAGCTAACAAAGAGATGCCTTTAGCAACAAGCGAGGATTCCCAACAGAGCCATCACCCTCCATTAGAGGATGGAGCAGATGTCATTGCTCATACCCAAACCGTTCCCATGAAGACAAAAATGAAAGACATCGCTCCATCAGGTGACAAATCCTGTGGTGCCTCTTCAAACAACCCCACCTTAAACATCAAACCAGGAAGCCTAGAAAGAAAAAACGAACTGGCTGATTCTGGAATAGTCGATCTACCTTCCAGACTTCTCTCAAGCAAGAAAGAAGCAGCAGGCTTGCCTCAAGAGGTCTCTGTTATGGAATGTCAAAGTGTTCAATCTCAGGATCTCTCTAGCTGTCATTGTGTAAATAAAAATGCGCAAGAAAAGAGCGTGTGTTCTGCTTATGCTGCTTTTGAGTCCAGCAGAATCATCCCAAAAGTTGAAAACTCTTTGATGACCAAGTGTGAAGATGCATTTCAGCACAGCAATCACCACTCCCAAGGAAGAGAAGGCTTCACAGAAAGTAGCACGCATAAAGTGAGTTACACATCAGAGGGAAGTGAACTTGCTGGGGAAGAAACTAAAGGCAGCCTCCCGGGAGATAAGATGCGAAATGAAATGACAGGAAGCATATTAAATAGTGAAGCTTCAGACAAGACCATTCCCACCACCAGTCACACCCAGCCCAGCGAGGAATGGTTGGAAGGAAAGGAACAGGATGTACCTAAAGAGACTGTGTTTTGCAAGTATAACATCTCTGACTGTGCCACATCAGAACTAAACTTATCTGCAAACATTCCAAGCCCTGAAAAATTGTTGGACCAGTCTCTAACTGTTATGCTTTCCAGTTTCAAAAGCATAAGCCAAGCAGTTGAAACTCTTGATCAGAAAACAGATAAAGTCCTTGACTGCCAGAGTAACCAAAATAGACCAGATGAAGGCAGAAATGAAGATAAACCAGCTAAGGAGACACTAGATGGTGACAAGAGAGAGACTGTCACAGAACCTAACAGAGAGGTAAGCCACAACCAAAAGGATCTGCTAGTTAGTTCAGCCAGTAACAACCCATTGTCCAGTGGTAGTTCAAAGAAAGGCGATTTGAAAGGAGACTCTGAACATATTTCTGGTTGTGAGGAGTCCACAGATGGCATGGTAGACATCATCTACACGAACTGCAGTAATAAATCTACAGAAGGCATGTTAGACTTAAGAGCATCTAGTACCCTTGACGGTGGTGCAGGGCAAGATGGACTGACATTACAGGAAACCTCAGTGAGTACTCTTTCTCAGAGAAGAGAACTGAGTGCTGCATTTATCGGAATGATTGGCCAGGACTCAGATTTCCCAGATGCTACTTCCTCTACAGGGGAGCCTCTGGAAATTAAAAAATCATGTGAAGAGAAAGTATGCAGATCATTAAAAGATTGTGAAATGGAAATGTGTCCAGACTCTTGTGCCCATGAGCTAGAGTCTACTGCAGATCATGAACCAAATATAAGAACATTGGGTAGAGTAAATGTGTCCTTAGATTATAGTCATCATGAACAGCAAGTTAAAGAAGCATCCCTTAGAGAAACAAAAGGAATGATCAAAGGATCAAGACTGGAAATAATTTCTGAGTTTGACAAGGACAATACCTTTGGAAGTTCCTCAAAAGAGTTGCTGTCTTCTGGATGCCCAGATGAGAACCCTGTTCCTGTAGGGAGCCTGAAATCCATTGAGATAATGCCTTCGTATCTGTCTTCTCACAAAAATTCAGAAAGTAATGTTAATAGTGAAGAAACTGACCTGAAAAATCTTTTTAAACCAAAAGATGGTGAAATGCTTTGTGAAAACGTGGAGCACCACACAGTCCTGCTTGAGAAGAAGGAAGGAGAACCAGGGGATGGGAGTAATTCTGGTAAAGGAGTCAGAATAGACATTGGTATGCAAAATTTGCCTTTGACAATGGAAACAGAAACTAAGTTGAGAGGAGAAAAAACTGAAGAACATCAGAGGGGACCCATGGGTCACGTAACTGTCAGGGAAGAGTCTGAGGAGATGATTACCAGAGAGGCTGGTCATGGTGATAAAGGAAGAGAGATTTTTCAGTCCCATTCTAAATCCCAGAGGATGCTTGCTGATCTTGAAGAGCAACAAAGGCAGAGGGCTTTGGACTACATGTTGCAGAATGAAGAGGAATATATCCATCAAAAAGAAGCATACACGATATTGGAACAATGTACATCATCTGACATTTTACCGGATGAGCTGAAAGATAAGAACCAAGCTAAGTATTGCAAAGGTGAGTCCACCATGAAGAAGAAAATCACCCTAGCACAGCTGGCCACGGGCGGCAGTGCTGCACAGTTCCGAAAGTTGGAGGATCCAAAGGAGGAAAGCTTGTGTCATCCATTAAAAAGGGCCATGGAGTTGTACACAGGCCCTTGCCTTCGTGTTGCCCCTCAGAAAGCACAAGACCCCAACTCTGCTGGGTGTGATGAAATACACGGTGCCTTTGGGAACACTTCACACCAGAAAAGAGTGCTTCCCTTAAAGAAGCAGCCCCATCGAACATGTAAGAAAGTTTCCTGTCAGGAGCAACTCAAGATGGGGAAAAAAATAAGTAAAATCAGAAGTTCTGCCTTTTTAAAGAGTTCCTCTGAAACCATCCCCACAAAAGCACACCGATTTCTCAGTTCGTGTGCTGTGCCTGCACCCGCACAATCGGAACCCGGAACAGAACCAGCCAGGAGCTTAATGAGCCACATACCAAAGCAGAAGGTGACTCCGTGCCATCCCTTGAGGAGCCTGAATGTTAGGAAGCCTACCAAAGAATCAGCCTTACTCAGCAAGCTGTCCATTCTCGCCTCCAAACTGGTCCCAGCCACAAAGACCCAGAAACTAAGATACCGGCGTTGTTCCTCAGAACTTCTTCCAGTGGCTAAAAGCTACAAGCGGCTCAGATACAAAAGGCTTCTGGATGGCTTTTCATACAATACAATGCAGCTAAATCCATATTTGGCAGCTAGTGGATGGGATAAGACACCCAACAGTAAGCCCTTGGCACTTTATTCGCTAGAAGCCATCAAAATGAGCTTCATAGATTTGAGCAACAAGGTGCCATCACTGCTGTTTGGTTCCGAAATTTTCCCGGTATCTTTTCACATGAAATCGGGCTCTGAGTGCATGACCGAGTCCCCAAGGACTTTTCCTGAGCACTGTGCTCCAGCCAGGCTCACCTTAGGAGAGGCCCCCAGGTGCCTGTCTCAACCTCCCAAGTGGACCTTTTCTTTCTTCTTGTCCCACAGTTGTCCTGGGATGGCCACATTCAGGGAAGACACTGGCCTCCATGGTCAGGCATGTGCCCAGGCTCCTTCACAGTCTCCAGGTCCTCTCCAAGACTATGGAGGCACTGCCATAGTCCAGACCAGAGCAGGCTGCTCTGTTCTTGGCCTTCACACACTTCTAGCACTTTGTTCTCCTGGATGTTACCGAATCTGGACAAAAAAACGGAGCTTCTCTAGTCACATGCCTACCATGCAGAGGCTCTTCATGACCCAGTTTACACAGGGCTTAAAAGGGTTAAGATCTCCAGCCTCCATAGCAGACAAGGTCTTCTGTTCTCTTCCCTACTCGGTGGGCCGAGTGCTATCCATTTGGAGCCAGCATGGGCCTTCTGCCTGCCCCTTCGAAATCTCTACTCTTCATTCCACTCACAGCAAGCGGCAGCCAACTCTGAGCACCACGAGCAGGTAAAATCCATGTTTGCTTTTCAACCTCTGGGGAAAGTTGAGGGCTAGAAATGCAAGGCTATTTAGAGTTTCTGTGTCTGCATTTTCTGTTTACCTTGACAAATCTCTGCTGAGAAAATGTAGCTGTAAGTCTTAAGTGTAGACCCCTCTAATTTTCCTGCAGAATCTACCCCTGTATTTTTACCATTCTATGTTTTGTCCATGTCATTCGCAAACCATCAAATCTTTTGAATCTCTTCTTTTCTACCCATGCCCTCGCCTTCCAAAGAACACCATTACACGTCAAAGACTTATAAATAGTGACAAATAATGGCTTCTAGCTATATCTTATTGACAAAGTATTATACAGTCAGCAACTACTTCAGTGTTTGATGTATAAAGGATACAGAATAAGTACTTTTTTTTTAAGATGTTATTTATTTATTTGACAGAGAGAGAGAGCACAGCAGGGGGAGCAGCAGGCAGAGGGAGAGGGAGAAGCAAGCTCTCCACTGAGTGGGGAGCCCGATGCAGGGCTCAGTCTCAGGACTCCAGGATCATGAACTGAGCCGAAGGCAGACACTTAACCGACTGAGCCACCTAGGCACCCCCAGAATAAGTACTTCTTAAGTAAATAAACTAATTATGTAGGTATCACCAAATCTAGTTCATGAACCTTTGGATTTCTCTCTGGAGCAGAGAGGCTTCAAAGATTGACATTTACATACTATAGTTGTACAATTTATAGAATTTTAAGTGAGCTAGAGAAGAGTGGTTTGACCACTTAGAATAGTTGAAAATAATTTCACCAATATCATTTTACCTTTTTTTTTTTTTAAGTTTTCATTTATTTATGTTAGAGTGGGGGGGGGCAAGAGGATGATAGAGAAAAATCTCAGCAGACTCCCTGCTGAGTGCAGTGCCCTACACAGGGCTCAATCCCACAACCCTGAGATCATGACCTGAGCTGAAATTGAGAGTTGGATGCTTAACTGAGCCACCCAGGTGCCCCTCATTTTACCTCCTTATTGGAAATAAGAGGAGAAAGAATTAGACAGTTATATCCTAAGGATCTGTCTCAGACATAATAAATCCTCCTATTTGTAATCCCTCAAATAAACAGAAACTGAAATTTTTTTTAATTGGCCCTCATCATTGTTATAGTTTAAAAATTCAACACCAGCAAAGCCGTAAAATTAGGGAGAGGCCTTGTTCTTCATGTGTCTGTGCAGTCTCTTATGCAGAATCATTCTGTGTCACTAAAACGCTGTCTGGTGCATATTACAAAGTTCCCTGACCATCTTAGCAGAAAACTAACTAAATCAAAGGGTTTCAGAAAGACACCGCAGAACCTGAATGTGGCTGATGGAAATTGAGAGATGAATGATCTTCGAAGTACTTGTCCTGTAGTTAATAGAAAAATGTTCTTACAGTGTAGTCACAAAAAATACATTGGAATGAATCAAATTGTTTTATTTTTTTCAAAGATTTTATTTATTTGTTTAAGAGAAAGATAGCGAGAGAGAGCACAGCAGGAGGTGTGCAGAGGGAGAGGAAGAAGCAGATGCTCCACTGAGCAGGGAGCCTGACGCGGGGCTCGATCCCAGGACCCTCCCTGAGATCATGACCAGAGCCGAAGGCAGACGTTTAACTGACTGAGCCACCTAGGCGCCCCCGACTCACATTGCTTTAAATCATAGTATACTGCTTTTACTTTGGTTTGTCAGTATACCTCTAGAACCGCATAACCACGCTCTGCTCAGTGTCTGACATGCAGCTTTAAATTGTCTTACCTTCTCTATGCTGTGTTCATGCCTGAGGTTCGAATATAGGCCAGTTCTTTGTTGCACCCTGTGAAGACGTGCGGCCTTTGGCCCTTTTTCTTCATCCAGAACTCTTTTCCCTCCTGACTTTTCTGTTTCCTGGCATGGAATATTTTTTCTCTGCCTTCCTTCCTATGTCTAGCATTTTATTTTATTCTTTTTATTTTAATTTAATTCAAGTGGAATGTTGGGGTGGGGGGTGTTTCTAGGGACTTTTCCTTCTTGGCTCTAGAAGTGCGTTATCATATGCCTTGACTTTAAGTTTGGAAGTTTGCTGTTTTTCTAAACACACTTAGAAATATTAAGCATGATAAATTGAGTAACCCAATAAAGAAGGACTTAACAAATATTAAATTATGTTTCTATTGGATTTTTTTTTTTTTTTTTTTTTACAGAGAGAGAAAGAGAGGAAGTGCACAAGCAAGGGGAGCAGCAGAGGGAGAGAGAGTAGCAGGCTCTCCGCTGAGCATGGAGCCTGATGTGGGGCTCGATCCCAGGACCCTGGGATCATGACCCGAGCCAAAGTCAGACGCTCAACCAACTGAGCCACCCAGGCGCCCCATAGGATTTTTTTTTTAAGTTTTATTTATTTAATCTACACCCAATGTGGGGCTTGAACTCATGACCCTAAGATCAAGAGCTGCCTGCTCGTCTGACTGAGGCAGCCAGGCACCCTCAAAGGATTTTCTTATTTGAACCTTCAGCACTCTCTAATGAAAGTTGAATGGGCTTCTTTTTTGCTGTTTTTATAGATGAAGAGCTTGAGGTACATGGTTTTTTCTAACCCAGATCAGGTTAGTGTTTCAGCTGAGCTAGACCTAGATGCAGGGTCTTCTGATTTCTGATTTGGTCAGCTCCTTCTCCAGTATACACCCTGCCTCTTTCCTTTTATCAGTACCTGTCAGGGAATCCTGAAGTAGTTAGTGCTAAACCTTCTAAAAATCTGAATTGTCTTTGTTTTCTAGACATTGAGCAAATCTACTACTTCTAAGAGGAGATGGATTGTTTTTATGGTCATCATACAAACCGCTCATTGATTAAACCTGTACTGTGTTCCAAATTTGGTAGAAACTGATACAGGTTTTACTTTGAGAGGCATTAAAAAGCTCTCCACCTTCATTTATTGATGTATCTATAAGTGATGAATACCATTGCTTCATCTATACAAATAAAAGCTTAATTACAAAGGAGTTAACTCTATTAATGGTTTTCTTCTACATAACCATGTTTTATGTGCAACTTGGCTTTAAAGAAAATAAGGTTTCTTCATAATCTTCTTTAAGGATATAGAAGTTAGGCTTTATTTTAATGGCATTAATAAAGAGATGAATAATACAAGATTTGTGGGGCACCAGGGTGGCTCAGTCATTTACCGTCTGCCTTCAGCTCAGGTCATGATCCCGGGATCCTGGGATCGAGCCCCGCATCGGGCTCCCTGCTCGGCGGGAAGCCTGCTTCTCCCTCTCCCACT